CCCCAAAACCCCAAAACCCCAAAACCCCGTGATATTCACAGGCTAAGAATCTAATATTAATAATTTCACTCAAAATGGAGCAGAAGACAAGTAAAATGCAAGTTCAGCCTAAAAGTTCAGGTAAGCATTCATTCCAATTGCTGGGCTGCCCTCTGATGCTTATAGACAATATGACAGGAGACCTAAGTACACAGAAAAATGCTGAGATTACTGAAAAGGAACCAAATGAGAATTTATTAGTTCAAGAAACCATGCAGAACTTTGATGAGCTTCCATATTCTCTCAGAAAGAACTCTGAAGATTCCCATGCTGAAGCAAGAATAAACATGGCTCAGATAGAAGAAGGGAAGGAAGACTCTCCAGCTCTTCTAAGTTTGGCAGGAGGCTCTGAAAAGATCTACCTTCCGTCTAAGAAGACTGTAAAGAAAACAGCAAGATGTTGGAACGTCAATCCATGGCAATCAAAAGCAAGCAAAGACAAGTTTGATGAAATCTGCTCCTGTAAGAATACCAGTCATAAATTTTAGTTGTTGACAATAATCAGAGCACTCAATTAATTAAGTCTCAAAGTCAAGGTGAGAATGAGCCATCAAGCATAACTTGCCACAAAGCTTGTGGCAAGTATAGTAAAAGTAAGCTCAGTAAAATTCAGTTGTAGTCAATCCATTTAAAGTATCTTTGGATGCAGGCTCAACACGATTTAAAGAAACTATCTCTAAGAATAGCTTGGCCACCTTTGATCAAGATGGACACAAGGAGGTCGATTCAGTCAAGCCTCTTCCAAATAGCGATGAAAGTACTATCTCATTAAGAAAACCTTCATTCAAACAGATTGATGAGCACTATTCTACAACTTCAGATAAATCTAAGCGTGTTAAGAACGAATTGAGTAAATTTTCAGTTCAGTCTAAATTCGGTCCTCACCAATTCTCTTCCTAAGCATATTTCAGTTAGGCGCTAAAGCAAAGGTCTAAGCTTTGAAATGCTAGTCTCACTGATCTGTGCTTCCAATTATTCTGCTCATTCACTCATATTGCAGATAGAGTGGACTTTATATGAACATGATCTTGGCTTATTCTTTGTGCGGATGCCTGAATAGTTTATACTTTAAGACAATTTTGAGTTCGATACCTCAGAATTTACTTCGAATATTCCGATTTGGCCACTTAGCTTGTACCTGTCAGGAGTCACACTAAATTCTGTAATGCTAACTTTTGAGAGTGGCTTAGTTTCAAATCTGTGTAGCCTGATGATAAGCTTATTCTAAATCAACCAAATCGTTAGCATGCTTATCTGAGGTTTATAGGAACCAAAAATATCCTAAATTTAAATTAGACTATCTCTCTACCACAGAAGCTCCAAGGCATTAGTCTGGGATGACTTCTCTCAAAGAATGAGTATGTTTATGCAATCAAGAGTCGTATAAATTAAAAATGAATAGCCACTTAGTTAATTTTCTACTGAAATTCTTTGCAAATACACTCTTTTTTATTTCGAAATTCACTTAATTTTTAATGTAGAAGTACAACAGAAACATGTAGACTTCCAAAACAAAGTGTATCCAGATCCCAAAGGAAATTGGCGAGATAAGGTTTTCATAAATTCACCTCACAACTTTGAGATCTGTGGGAGTTATTATAGCATATCTTATAGCGAAAATTTAAATAATTTCTTCCCGTCTCATGACATTATCCCTCTTTGTGCTACCTGATTTCTGAAACTTCCTGATTCCAATGAAATAGAAGTAGAAATAGAGAAATCTAAAGGTCTTACTATTTTCTTGTCCCAAACTTTCCCTAGAAAAGTGAAAACCTGAACAATACATGATACAAGTGGTGATGATATTACTCAGGGACATGCCTACGCTCAGATTTTGAGAATTAGCTCTGCAGTTGAGAAGGAAATAATTTTTAAAGGATTTGAGCTCAAAGAAAAACATCTCAAAAGATTTCTTGCAGCTTTCAGACATGTTGAAACTGTCGAGTTGACAATGTGCCATCTCTTAGTTTCAAGAGTTCCAGATCTTTCGTTGGCTCTGAAGGGGTCTAAGATCAGGGTTTTAAAGTTCGATTACACTGTTTTTAGAAGTAACAACTTCAGATGGAGTGACCCTCTATCACTGAAAAACTTTATTGATGGACTTGCTACGTCTCCTGATCTCAAGCAAAATTTGCAAGAGTTTCATATTGGTGATAGGCGCTTTGAAGAATTAGGTTTGCTAGACATTTTTGAAGAAACAATCACCAAGATATTTGCAGATTCTTTAGGAAAAAGAATTGCACTAAAATTTATCCAAAACGAATTTAAGCTATCGTTTGATGTATCGGACCTCTTTTAGACATTAATTGGCTCCAATTCTGCTCAATATAACTATTATTGTAATGGATCTTAGCATATTAAAATAATTGACAGAAATAATTATTAATAGTTCAATCATGTCTGCTTCAACCGGGGTTTTGGGGTTTTGGGGTTTTGGGG